CTAGATATTCAAGTTGTACCGCACGCACGGAAACGCACGGAGGAGTCTTGGCGTTTGTGTGATAACAGATAGCTAGCTACACTTCGACATTATCTTTCTTGATCGTTGAGTTTCAGCAATGTAAATGAAATGAATTTTATAGCCACTCCATAACGGGTTTTAATCCTGTGCTTTTACAGTCAAAATAGCACTATTGTTTACACATGTTGGCGATGTTTGGGAAATCAAAGGATCCCGTTATAAAATAAATCTTTTGTTTTGAATATCGGACAGGATACACTTCAACTATAAAGAACCATATCGTTCGTTTAATACCGTTTGATCGATCAGTCTGTGTAGAAGATATGTATGTTTCTACGGCAATACGTGCTAAACTTCGCAGGCCAGGCGCGTGCATGTGGAGTGTTTTCCTTGCAAGTGAAATATGATCCAGCTTCTCGCTTGAAATGTAACGCAACACTTATTATTGATGACATTCAGTATAGCAGCAAGTCTTGTCATGATCGGTACGAATTTTATAGAACAGTTCCTTTCACAATCTCTTGTTGCAAATTACATTTTTATCACCCGAAATTATAACACATAAAGTTGCAATTTTCCAAACGCAACAAACAGACTACTCTCCTACCCCTCCCTGAGACCAAATTCAATTCACCCCCAAAATCTGGGGGTTCACGTGACCAGCTCCGACCAGGGTCTTTGCTTCCCAAGAGCAAATAGCCAGGGAACAAGGTTGTGCAAATGTATCGAAGCCCTTGAAATACATAACCGTAGCAAAAATATTATGAACGGTTGCATAGGTAGAACAATTAGTATTTAATTAATCAAACACTGCTTGACCGGACTCGTAGCTAATTAGCATTTCAATAGATTTTATAATTTTTTATTTTATTCATGAATTTTTAATAGACTAGCTTGTATATAATAGACGTATATATTGTAGTAAGTAATATTCCACTGATGAAGCCTTGACCGGCGAAACGTCTGGAAAATAAAACATTTTTAACATCTTTTTATTCCAATTTTATGTCTGAAGAAATTCTTTTTAACCTTTTCAAATATTCACCGGCCATGTTACCTACAACCCCTTCATATATATATATATATATATATATATATATATATATATATATATATATATATATATATATATATATATATATATATATATATATATATAGATATATATAGTCCTCCAGTCGCGGTGTTGTGATTGCCTTGAAAACGGGTAACTAAATCAAATCCTCCCAGTTTACTGGGTCAAGGCGCTCACTTCCCTGCTGACTTGGGATCCCCTATTGTGCATGTTTGATTTTTTTGTCTTGGTGATCTTCCGCGATATGTCTCTCCCGATTCGTATCAAACGGTCTTGGATGATAAGTCGGGTTACGACCCAACCTCGTTCCCAGGGTCTGTTCTTCTGTCATCTGGGAGAGACCCTGGCTGCGGCTGGTCACGTGCCTCCCAGATTCTGGGAGGTAAATTTAATTGTAACTGTGAGAGGGGTGGGAAAGGAGCGTGTTTGTAGCGTTTTAAAATTGCAACTTTGGGTGATGAAATTTACTGTAAATTTGCAACAAGAAATCGTAAAGAGAACTCTCACATTAATATTTATATCGTGACGCTCTACTCTATAATCTGGTGTCGAGTTACAATTCAAGCAAGTTGGATCAGATTTCAATATTCAACTTATAGATTTGCCAAAGAAAGCACGCTTGCCGCTTGTGCAGCGTGGCGCATGGCGATATTAAACCTACAAGAAAATATAGATCTCTAGACCGAACAGTGTGGTTGTTATTTATTTAGTATTAATGTCTATCCTGATACTCGGACCAAAAGAATTTATTTATTGATGAGATGTGGAATTGCAACGAAATAGCGAGATCTTTTGATTTCCGAAATATCGCCAACTGTATCCAGATTGTTGATCTATATAAAGGCCTTATCAAAAAAAACTTGTCAAAACACTATAAAATTGGCCCTTGGCATTGCTGAAACCAACGATCATGGTATATGTCAAAGTATAGCTGTCTGTTGAAAATCTACGGTATTAAAATCATACACCAAAGATAAGTCAAACGACAAATTATATGTCACTATATTATACATGTCTTTCAATGAGCACTATTTTTAGTAGTGTTCACCACCTTTATAAATTTTGTAAACAGCTTTCGTTTTGACATGAATAAGCTTTATTTTTTTCCTGTATATGCATTCTTAATAATACAAGTGAGATTTAAATTTTTGCTTTGACTTTGTGAAATAGAATACCGTTATTTTTTAATGGACAGCTTGCATCGTCTATATCATATCCAGGATTGCTTGTGTGTAAACGCATTATTCACTATATGACACTATCAAATAAATATAAGTACTAAAATGATTAATGAATTAGAGATAAACAGGTGATTCACAATAAAAACTTTAAAAATGTTAGTAGAAGTAGGCTAGAAAACTCGAAAATTTATGTCTATTCGTATGATGCCAATGACGCGGTCTGTGCGCATCTGACACTGTAAATTTGTGATATAGATTATAGTATGTTAACACAATATAATGATTAATAGAGAACAAAAAAGGCTAAAGTATTACTATAATTACCGAAAACGAATTATGTACTAAATCCAGATAAACCAATGACTGAAATTTCCTCTATACTTATAGACATTTCTCCGTTCGGCTATTATCAGATGTTTACATTTGCTAATATTGGGTCAGTCCTAGACAATACTGTTTCTTTTAAAAATCTTATAAACAAGACGCGTAGTAACAAGTGAATCGGTACAAAGCGTATCAACGTTTACAAGAAAGGACGGTCGAATGCAATGGCGTATTTTAAAAACATTACAATATTAAAAGGTTTGTTATAACCGCGCTCGATTGTGAAGAGAGCATGCATTGAATAACAACGCAAGAAAGCACGTACTGCGAGTAACGATTTGCTTTGTTTCTTGACTTGACTGTAAGTAAGAATGTTCTTGTAAATTCAAAGCAAAGAAAATAAACAAAAATTAGCAAGTATTTTGAACGTAATAATTCGCAAAATTTATGTTTTTAACGAATGTTCCACTGGAAGCATGTTTATGTAATTTGATACTTTCCCCACACCCCCTCAGGCGCTAAATTTTTGATGAGGCACGTGACCAGCCGCAGCCAGGGTCTTTCCCAAAGAAAGATCCTGGGTACGAGGTTGCCTCAGCTGACGCAGGATCAGTAACTTTTACATTCGTCGTTGCCATAGTAACTAAGATAGGCCTCGCTATAGGGTAAAATATAGGGTTTGCTCCAAAAATGATGTGAGCCAAACTAATTTACCGAGGATTTTAGAAACAGCTTTAATGGACACTTAATACATCGATCTATGTCATGAACCTAAAAAAATATACAAGTAATATAATAAGGCCTTCATATTTTACTTTTTTAAAATTATATGAAGAAAGGAGTTCTTATAAGGCTACTCTTGCAATGTATATTGCTGATATATGAAGTTTTTTAGGTCCATGACATGGCTATGTAACAAGCAAATAAACTCTGAAAATTTCGAACGAATTGATTCAGTATGAACAGTAGGAGAGTTTTTAGTATTTCGCAAAATGCTCATGTGAGAAAAGCGATTTTAAAGTTTTTGCATATATTAGAATAACTTAGATAGAACAATATAATTGAAAATGGAACAATAGACTAAACCAATCGCATATTTTTATCGCTCCGGGTAAAATCGTGGTTTTACCCTACGAAGGTGTAGAATTTGCTGGATTTCTCTGGTTTACGGTACATTTTCGTTCTTAAAATTACACGGATTTTATAAAGAACGCTATAAAGACTACATTTTTACGTTTTTCTAAAAAATAACGAATATTGGAAAATTTGGGTGGAAGACCACCTTAAGCAATTATATTCTTTCGAAAGAAGAACCTACTACTTAAATGTACTCAAAATAATTACCACACAAAATTCCAAACACACTGCTCACCCCAACACCCCTCCAACGACAGAGTCTTGGCTAGGCCCTGCACGCGGGTTTATGGTTGTTCCGCTGTAAGTAGCGATATTTTTTGGCGTCTGATAAGATTAAGAGTAGATCAACTTTTGTAGATGGAATTTTCGAACGCAAATTGATCTACATTTTTAGACTTCGCTGCTAGTGCTAAGCAACTTGCCTCTGTACATTAGAGCGTTGTACCGGAATCACACGGCCTCCGGCTATAGATTTCTACATGCATGCCAGTTGGCCAAGAGATCCTGGTCAGATGTAAAATTTATATAAAAAATGTATATAAATTTGCGTTCGAAAATTCCAGTTTACCATTGTTACCTGCAATTAAGGATCCAAAAACCATTGTGATGGACATGAAGTATCTGTCAGGGAATAGCTCCCAGTAGTTGTATCGAATGGCACAACTCCACCAGATTAAATGCACGATGGTGAATGGAATCAAAATGCCGACCACACGACGGTGCTTTACGATTATCTTGGAATACCACGGAGCATTTTGATCCAAGGTCTTGAGAGCTTTAGTTTGAGTACCAGTCAATGTTTGACCTTAAAAGACATGCTGCAGTCAATTTCATCCATCATGCTAATGCGCGAGTTTTGCTTACAAATGCAGCATTGAATCAATATATTCAGGGACATCGCATTAACATTAGGGACCTTTAGCTAGCAGGACGGCGACAGCTATTAATACAATGAAATTTATGACAGTGTACAGGGTGTATAAAAAAAAACGCAACCTCGGAATTTCCTAAGAAATCACTTTACAATTCTTAAGCATAAAAGATTTTAGGCCCCTGGGAATTGAAATCGAATTGCTAATAGATCGTATTGTTGTTGTGCATTAAATAAATGCATAAATTTTGCTTTATGCACTCGCGTGTGCAGTAATTTTGACAGTAGTGCTATTTTAAATTCCCCAGGCGCCTAAAATCTTTTGTCTTTAAAACAATGTCGATTTCTTGGGAAATTCCGAGGTTGCGTTTTTTTTTATACACCCTGTACAGTAGAAAGAAAATGCATAATTAAAGTCCCTTGGGAGTTTTAGACGTCGTCCTTGCTCTGTTTACAACAGCAAACCAAACATTTTCACGTTTTGTGTATACAACGTCTGCCTTTCAAGCCGCGAGAAGTCGTCCTCGCCAAAATGGCTTAGCAGAAGTCTTCTCAACTATAAACTTCTGTCTTAACCCTTATTTGGTTAACTTTCTGTAATTTTTTTATTAATTTTCCCAACGCAAAACAGGGAAGGTACACCTCCTGTTCATGCAGTAGTCCTATGATGCCCAATACGTAATTTCGTTTAAAAAGTGACCAACTATTTTGACCAAATATTTTCCATTTTGACCAACTTTAGCAACTGTAGCGGCGTCCCTGAATATATTGTTTATGGGGCCGAGGAACTTATGAGATACAGTTCAATCCGAGTTATTGGTTAGGGCTGGGGATGAGATTTTAGTATGTTGGAGGCTTTAAAATTTATAGTAAACTCGAACTCGTGCATTACAATAGACAACTTGCATGTTAGACTAATTTTTTATTTAGGCAAAAAATGAAAGTAAATTCCCGTAAAGAACTTACCAAAATCAGTAAAATTGCAAAATTTAATTGGTTACAAAATGTTGTAAAATACAGAAAATATAGCCTTGCAAAGTTTGCATATTTTCAGTATGTTTGTATTACGTGCGGAAATTGTTATCATTTTTGAGCTGAAAATGGTAACAATTTCCGCACGTAATACAATATACTGAAAATATGCAAACTTTGCAAGGCTATATTTTCTGTATTTTACAACATTTCGCAACCAAATTTTGCAATTTTACTAATTTCATTATGTTCTTTTTAACTGTTATGTTTGATTCCCTTCTCTTTACTTAGATTAAAATTTAGTCTAACATGCAAGTTGTCCATTTCCTTTGTATGGAGATTAAAACTTCCATCGAAGGCTCTTCGTTTGGGATTTCGTCGTCTGCCTCCTCCACACGCCCTCGCTGGCTCATACATGGGAAGGTCATAATTTCTATAGGGCCTGGAAAATCCTGAGCAAAAAAATTGCGCCCCCTAATCCTTGACTAATAATTGCGCCAATCACATTGGCGTATGAGACAGGGGTGCTCCAGTAACTGTTTAGTCGGGCAGATCCTACTTTAAAAATCTGGCAATTTGCTTGGCGTGCTCGCCTCCACTCTTGCTCGACCCTTGCTCCACCATTGCTTCGCATCTCTTGCTCTGGAGGAGGGTGTGGAGTGGGCATTGATTGGATTGTATATACAATTGATGTTGGCCAGTTAGTATAGTTGGACGAAGGTCTTCATTAGTAACTATATATTAGATAGCTTAAGATCTATACGACATCGACTACGAATTAGATAGCTTAAGGACGGAAAGAGGAAGTAAATTTTTTGAATTGTGCATACGCTTATTTCAATTGCTTGTCGCCCACCAAAACGTTGACAACTTAATAAGAGCATATAATGAATTCACGCTTCTCTTTAAAATTCATTTGGATGTAAAAATTTCTAGTTTAAAGGTGTGAATGTTTATTTATTTAGGACGACGGCCTAGTTCCAATCATCTGCTCAGACCTGACGTTCTAGATGTTGACGTCGTAGATCTTGAGTTATCTAATAATTAATTACCCTCTGACGAAGGATCTTCGCTTAAAACGTCGCAGTTTTTCCCCATAATTTTCTCCAATAAAATATTACGTTTTTGATGGAAACAATTTTAAGCCACTAACCCTCGAGAAAGTACTTCTTGAACCATTCCTTAGGCGAACGTCGTGGAGTTGCCTGAGTCATTATTGCCAGTTCCTCCTGTGTAAATGACAAAAAAATTCAAGAGACATATTGTTATTCTTCATAATCAGTCTCATTAATACTCTCGTGCTACTAATCCCCCAAAAATGTAATTTTCTGGATTCTATTTAGCTTTAAATGTTAATAAGCTTCAGCAGTGGCATTAAATTTCCGCTCACTACAAGGTATATATCAAAGTAAGTAAATGAATGAAGAGTAAGTTGAAAATTAGGGAATGTTGGCAAGTCTCAAAGTAGATATTGTTACTTAGCACTAATTCTGAACTAGGAAAATGTCTAAGTATTAAAGTGTCACTCTTCTGATTTCATTTACACTATAATTTCTGAGAATATTTCATTTCTGATGACAAATTAATTGCAGTCTCCGCTCATATCCGAAATGATTTGCGCGCAAACTACAAAGTTAAAAGCGCGATTTGAGTTCATAGACGGAAGTTCGAAATGTGTTTTACGAACTGTCGAAAGGAAAGATAACTTGATGTTCATTAATTAAGTCCCCCGCCCGCTAAAATATGGACCTTTAACAGCATGACAACAGCATGGCAATTTTTGGACAAGTTTACATTTCCTCCATTATTCAGTAAAGGCGTCACTTACATTAGAACTTCATTTACTTCTGTTTTAATCAGATTTAATTTAACTATGTTACGTACTAACTGTTGTTACGCATCTATACGATACAGTAAAAACCCACATGAAAGAAGCACTATTTTTTATGTCAGGCTGAAGTGGTTCTTATACAATTTTAGTGGGAACTATCACGCTTACTTGCCTCTTAATTTAACTGCTTCTTATTTCTAGTCAAAAACTATTGTTTCTGGTTTAGTGTTTTTAAATCATTTGTTTCGCCCTAATTTAATGGATATGAAATTGAATTTGTGTTCATATGAGAAACGAGCCAGCCCAGCAGTAGCTGAGATCTCAACTTACGCTTGGTGGGATGTACGGATGAAATTTTCGGCCATATGAAGGCTTTAATCCATCTGACCGGGATGGACATTTTTGGCTGATTATGACATAAAATATCATATGAACGGTATATAGTTGGAAATTATTAACATTTGAAAAAACCAGGTAAACATGCAGGCACTGTTAAAGTCGTAATTCAAGGTCAATTTGTTCAAAACAAAAAATATTTCGAGGGTGCCATGTCAGTTACATATTTTTGTCCCACCAAAGCGGACTTTGAACGCGAATGAATGTTCCTCCTCAGTTGACCTTTGCTTTTCCCAAACATTTGGTTTGAATTTTGCTCTTTTCCCGGCTTTTCAAGCTAGTATTGTCTGAATGTGTGGTACTTTATGATAGCTGCACCGACGTTTTCGACTGTTCACTCTTAGCAGAGAGCTTTCCGACGAACTGTCCTGCTCTTTTCCCACGACCGTAATATATCATTGTCGCCGAAAAAAGAGATTCAGCTTAAATCACCTGATCAACTTTTGTGTTGAACTTTTCCGTTTCTTCGAGTCTCTTCAACATACTTTCAACTGTATCACTTGCACTTGGATCATATACATTTTTGGCTTATGATGCAGGCACTCATTTATAGGATCATATGCATAGCAATATTTGTTTCAATTGTCTTTTACGCCCGTATTAGGTATTCAAGTGGTCCGTAGGCTAATTTAATTCCTCGTTCCATCGACCCATGTATCCAACATCACCTTGGCAACCTGCGAGGGACTGATCCCTTTTGGCAAACTTTGCAAACATTACTCCAAACTAACCACTTTGCTATAATTGTATACAAGTTTATTTAATTTTATATGTTTCGACTAATTAAGAGGACAATTATTTGTATCGGTTACGTAACACTTGCTCAAAACTGATGAGTATAATATACCACTTATGCGGACTACATTCAATATTTTTATTTTCCAATACGCTTCTCAATCGGCAAACAAACTTAAAAAGTAGCTATATTTAGTGCTTTATCTGCAAAATAATGCTGACGTGAAGACATTTTAGATGGTATACGCCAAGGAGAAAATGATGTTTGAATTTCAGTAAGTTTTGCTTATATTGCTGTAAATACGGCGTCACTTTTAAAGCATCATTGATAGTCGTATTTTAGTTGACATTTTCAGTTTAATATTTAACAAATATTAAACATTTTCCGTGTTGATATACAGTTATATCAATACGAGAGGAAATTGGGAAAATGAGAAATTGTGTGGAAACACGACGCCCGAAGGGCGGAGTGGTTTCACACAATTTCGAGTTTTCCCAATTTCCACTCGTGTTGATATATGACTGTATATATCAACACGGAAAATGTTTTATATTTGTTTTATAATATAGCACAAAGAAACATAAAGAAATAATTTTTCCGACGTTTCCGTGTTGACATTGAGTTAAATCAACACGGCTCTTAACCAATCAGCGTTCAGAATTTACAAATGCTATGTTATAATATTTTACGTTTCTCAACCGGCAAATGCATTCAAAAAGGTAGCTAACTGTATAAATTAGAAAATAAAGCTAAAACTAAGCAATTTTGAGATGTACGCCAAAGCGATTTTCGTTTTCGAACACTTTTCATCGCAAATACGTGACATAAAAAAAAGCTTCTTTATTCAATAAATCTATCGATCACAAAAAATGGGAAAGTAGTCCGTGACTAGACTCATGAAGGACCTTCTCAAGTAACTGAATAGCTTCAATCGTCCACAAAATATTTGAGACAAACCTCCCTCCCCCATCTCAATGTCGCTTTGTGCTGCAAAATTGTTTTATTCAAATATTCATTAGATTTTGAATGCCATGCAATAGGACATGCAGTTGCGGTTGTTGGGTCACGTTATATTTCTGCCAGGAAGATATTTATATAATAGCATTTCAACATTGAAACAGGGGGAAGGGGGCAATGGATCACTGGATTACAAAAGTCTCAATATATTTTGCGGACGATTGTCTTAAAAATTGATGGGACATAATCATCTTGAGGATTTTCTGACTTCGAGTCCATATGTGTGTGTGGTAGTCACTCTGTATGATCTCATCCTTTGTGTACTTGGCATGCAGGTGTACAATGGTACATGGCTGACTTGTCATCTGGGAGGTGGGGGTAGGGGGGGGGGTGGATTTCCAATTTTCCTAGCTGTTGGTATAGGGTGCATTATTCAAGGAATTTAAAAAAAATGAAATTGACATCTGAAGTCGTTTCAGCTGCATTTTTGATATTATATTGAACTCAAGTTTAAGCAAATGCACTTATAGTGCTTAAAGGACGCAATTACCGTGCACGTTACCATGAGTTACATGCTTTTATTTAGCTTTTTATTGCCAGTTCAATGCGTTACCACGCGATAGGGCAACGCGTGGTAACCCGTCAAGTTATTAATAATAACTAGATTAAAACTAATATAACACAACGTATATGCATGGGTTAGCGTGGGTAACGCGTTGAGAATCATTGCTTGCATATTTGTCTCCCGAAAAACTGGACTGTTAAAAATGAACCCTTGTGTTAGGTACTATATAGGCGTGGCTTACTAGGTGGGCTCAGGGGCGTAGCTAGAGGGGTGTGTGTGTGGGGGGGGAGGGTGTAGCACCCCCATTCATCACATATTCGGCAAATGTCTGCTGGACTCGGCAAATTGTTTTCGGATTTATCTGGAAATTGTTTTCGTGGTGAGTGAAAATTTTTTAGTTGCTCGGAATAAAACGTAATAGTTGTAGCAAAAATGTTACTAAATTTACCAAAAGAATTATTATATATCCGGAAAAATTTTTGAATTTTGGGAAAAATTATGATATGTCCGGAAAAAATTTCACAACCCCCTCAAATGTTTGTTTGGGAAAAGAAAAATTAATTAGTGACTCGGCAAAATTTGCCTACATAACTCGGCAAAATTCACTAACACCCCCCCCCCCTCATTCAGAGAGGTCTAGCGACGCCCCTGGGAGTGGGTGAGCTTGATTCAAAATCATCTATTGTTTACTTAATCATGATAGGAGAGAACAAATCTCAGCAAAGTTAAATTTTAAATTTGGTACGAAAACAGGTAGTAGCCGAAGCATTTCTTCCGAAAGATTGATTTCCGGTTTGGGGGCGGGGTTGTTTACATGTTGGCCTTTTGCATCCATTGACATATTAAATAAGTTAAAATCTTAATTTTTTATATATTGCGCCGAGGCCTGAGGGATAAATTACTCGCGTACGAAGATTCTTGGGTTAAAAATTCGTGCAAATTTTGCCGAATTTTCAGGGATTCTGGGATTTTTTCATGATTTTTTTCGAAATATTTTCCCCGTTTTTTTGTCGACTTTTTTCCTAACGCTTTCATAAAAATAGAACTTTATATAAACATTCATGAGTAAAAATAAGCGAATAAATATGCAAAACTTCACACGTGTCTTTTGCCATTTTTCTCCCGATCCTCATGTGATAAGAAATTCTTGCATGAAGTATTGGATAAACATGAAGATTTCGAGAAATCAATATTTGACAATTGTTCGCCGAAGGCGAGGTGATTATCGGGGAATATTCACCGAGACGAGGTCGAGGACATAAGTAGGTCGAGGTCGTTGACATAACTAGCGTAAGTATTAAACTAGATTAGTATGACTAAACACGTCAACGTCACTAACATACTGAAATGATTTAAGTCAGTGTGAACATAAATGTCGTGTATTTAGATACAAAATATAGAATAAGGCATAAGCATGGCCGATCTACATATCTAATGCGCATGTCCGAAACTATACGAAACTACATAGTAACCTACGTGGTACTAATTTATTACATAGAAATTAGTTTAAATACAAGTTTTTTAAAGAATTAATATCGAAACAACAGCGAAAAAGCATGCATGTTCATTGAGAATATAAATTGTTCAGAAAAGTTTGCAACGAAAGACAAATGAATTTACACTCAACAAGCACTTACTATACTACCAAACATCTTTATAATATAGCATTTGTAAATTCTGAACGCTGATTGGCTAAGAGCCGTGTTGATATAACTCAATGTCAACACGGGAAATTTTCCGCCGCTTGTAAACACGGAAATTTTTCTTATCCTTCGGGCTTTTGACATTGCTATATTATAAAAAAAATATAAAACATTTTTTCCGTGTTGATATATAGTTATATCCATGGGCGTACCGGGCGGGGGGGCGGGGGGAGGGGCGGTAGCCCCCCAGTTTTTTAGGCAGTCGGGCAATATTCGCTGAACAGTCGGGCAATTTTGGTTAATTAAAAAAATAAATGTGACAAAATCTGTAAATTTTGCGCAAAATTTTGTGAAATTTCCCAAAATTTTGTAGCTTCCGGACAATAATGGTATGCTCGGAAAAAATTTTTGACCCCTAAAATGGTACGCTGACCGAAATTTTTTTGGCGCCGGCGGGGGGGGGGGGAGCTCGCCAAACCAAATTCCGGAAAAATCTTTTCGGTACTTGTCGGGCAAAATCAGGAAAAGTCGGGCAAATTTCTTGCCGCCCCCCTTCCGGTACGCCCATGGTTATATCAACACTCGTGGAAGTTGAGAAAACTCGAAATTGTATGAAAACACTCCGCCCTTCGGGCGTCGTGTTTCCATACAATTTCTCGTTTTCCCAATTTCCACTCGTGTTGATATAACTGTATATCAACACGGAAAATGTTTTACATTTGTTAAGTATAATATATCTGATCTTTTCTGTGAGATATACTGGTTCTAAAACCATTTCTTTCACTTCGGGTGCGTTCCTTTAGTGCAATCCGGATTTGGATCTTCAAATCCGATTATCGATTTTCAGTTTCATTTAACAAAATCTTAAAATAGATTCGAATCTGATGAATCCACCTCAATATAGAGGGTGGGAAAGGGGGGCGGGGGGAGGGGGGAGTACGGATCACGTTTCATAACAAAAAAAAGCCGTTTCACAATCACGTGTCTTAAAAATGCAATTTCACGGAAAACTAGATTCTCATAAAATAATATAATAATAATAGGTTTATTAAGACTATGTTTAATGCATGGTACAGTATCTACGGTTAAAAGTTCTCTCATTTCTCTACCTCTCAGTTAAAAACTACATCATAACTTACAAGTTTGAGTGCGTATCCTCAGCGCCAGGACCTTGTCCTCAGCGCCAGGAACCTTGTCCTCAGCGCCAGGAACCTTGTACTCACCGCCAGTAACCTTGTCCTCACCGCCAGGAACCTTGTCATCACCACCAGCAACCTTGTCCTCACCGCCAGGAACCTTGTCCTCACCGCCAGGAACCTTGTCCTCAGCGCCAGGAACCTTGTCCTCAGCGCCAGGAACCTTGTCCTCAGCGTCAGGAACATTGTCCTCACCGCGAGGAACCTTGTCCTCACCGCGAGGAACCTTGTCCTCACCGCGAGGAACCCTGTCCTCACCGCGAGGAACCTTGTCCTCCCCTCGAGGAACCTTGTCCTCACCGCGAGGAACCTTGTCCTCACCGCGAGGAACCTTGTCCTCACCGCCAGGAACCTTGTTCTCACCGCCAGGAACCTTGTCCTCAGCGCCAGGAACCTTGTCCTCACCGCGAGGAACCTTGTCCTTACCGCGAGGAACCTTGTCCTCACCGCCAGGAACCTTGTCCTCACCGCCAGGTACCTTGTCCTCACCGCCAGGAACCTTGTCGTCAGCGCCAGGAACCTTGTCCTCACCGCGAGGAACCTTGTCCTCACAGCGAGGAACCTTGTCCTCACCGCCAGGAACCTTGTCCTCACCGCCAGGAACCTTGCTCTCACCGCCAGGAACCTTGTCCCCAGCGCCAGGTACCTTGTCCTCAGCGCCAGGAACCTTGTCCTCACCGCGAGGAACCTTGTCCTCACCGCCAGGAACCTTGTCCTCACCGCCAGGGACCTTGTCCTCAGCGCCAGGAACCTTGTACTCACCGCCAGGAACCTTGTACTCAACGCGAGGAACCTTGTCCTCACCGCCAGGAACCTCACTGTCCTCACCGCGAGGAACCTTGTCCTCACCGCCAGAAACCTTGTCCTCACCTCCAGGAACCTTGTCCTCACCTCCAGGAACCTTGTCCTCACCGCCAGGATCATTGTCCTCACCGCCAGGAACCTTGTCCTCACCGCCAGGAACATTGTCCTCACCGCCAGGAACCTTGTCCTCAGCGCCAGGAACCTTGTCCTCAGTGCCAGGAACCTTGTCCTCACCGCGAGGAACCTTGTCCTCACCGCCAGGAACCTTGTCCTCAGCGCCAGGAACCTTGTCCTCAGCGCCAGGAACCTTGTCCTCAGCGCCAGGAACCTTGTCCTCACCGGGAGGAACCTTGTCGTCACTGCCAGGAACCTTGTCCTCAGCGCCAGGAACCTTGTCCTCAGCGCCAGGAACATTGTCCTCAGCGCCAGGAACATTGTCCTCACCGCGAGGAACCTTGTCCTCAGCGCCAGGAACCTTGTCCTCACCGCGAGGAACCCTGTCCTCACCGCGAGAAACCTTGTCCTCCCCGCGAGGAACCTTGTCCTCACCGCGAGGAACCTTGTTCTCAGCTCCAGGAACCTTGTCCTCACCGTGAGGAACCTTGTCCTCACCGCGAGGAACCTTGTCCTCACCGCCAGGAACCTTGTCCTCACCGCCAGGAACCTTGTCC